TTATATAAACATGTGAATTTTAACTCTTATAAGGGGTGGGGAACATACAAGACTCACTAAGACATACATGTGTGCTTCTCATTGGCTATCCATAACTGTCTGCTGTGTGGGTCATAATAGTGGTTCTGGGGCAGATAAGGAAGGTTCCCTACCCCTAAAAACAGATATGAGAAATTAAACTTTGCTCTCAAGTTGCTTTATGTAACTTACTGTTTTATTTTGTTTTTAGATTGGTATCATAATGTATCTTAAGAATAACATGAATGCAATTTACTCCACATTTTAGTTCACATTAAACTGCTTTACTCATTCTACTTAAGGGTTACTCAAAGAATACTGGTTATCTCTTAACACTAGACTCCTCCTCACACTCCTGCACCTGACTCCCAACAAGGAGTCACAACAAGTGAGACACAATGATGTTCCCGTTTGTGAGAACAATAGATGTTATACAAGAACTTCCCGTTTTATTGATTATGAATGAATTCTTTTGCTTACTCATCTAGGTATGCAGAATTCTGCAAGGTGAATACAGAGATTAAACAAATTTAGTAGGATATTTAACTTAGGGTAAATTCAACTATGCTAGCTTATTCCCTTGAAATTGTACTCCCAACCAAAAAAAAAAGATTTTTTTTTTTTTTTTCAGTTATGGGGCTTGAACTGTGGACCTGATGCTGAGTCTGAGCTCTTCAACTCAAGGTAAGTACTCTCTTACTTGAGCCACTTCCAGTTTTCTGGTGCTTAACTGGAGATAAGAGTCTCAAGGGCTTTGAACCATAATCTCAGATCTCAGCCTCCAGAGTAGCTAGGATTACAGGCATGAGCCACCAATGACCAGCAGAAAAAGAATTTTTAAGAAGTAAAACAAACAAAAATAAATGGGAAAATGGGAAGGCACACAGCAACATGCCAAAATTCAAAATATGGAAAATAGAAGGGAGAAACTAGTGAATGACAGAAGAGGAGAAACTACACTACAATGTCTGAAGGAAGATAATTTGAGAATGTAGTTGTGCAAACTCAGAAAAGCTCAGAAAATGGAGGTCCAAGACATAAAAACTTAGGGGGAAAGTCTCCTAGGTCCTTTCCTATCCTATGTTGTCATATGACTAACCTCTTCAGAGCAAGATATATTCTAGAAAGCCCAAACCTGGTAAGCTCTGAACTTGGGGATACAGGCACAATTGGGTTAGTGATGAAACTGAACTGAAAACAGCATAGAAAAAGTACAACTGGGATATACCTGGACCATTTCCTGCCCTCCTTCCAAAGAACAAGCAGCCAGATTTGTAAGTGCTCTCTGGGCACCAGATTGGTAAATTTCTTCTCTAAAGAAACCAAATACTTGCTGTTTTCTTTTTCTGGAATTTCAAATTTACTGAGTTGGGCTCGGGAACGTTTTCAGGTTTACTGAAGTCAAATTTATATAACAGAAAATTCTTTATCTTAAGCATATAGTTTAAATTTTGTTTTTTTGTGTACAGTTGAGTTACAACTGCCACAGAAAAGTTCTCTGATCTTTAAGTTTGCTCATGTCCTTTGTAGATGATTCCTTCACCTGACCACTAGCCCAGACAATGTCTGATGTACCTTCAGTCAGTATGATTTTGCCTTAAAATTTTTTTTTTTTTTTTATGGCTGGGAAGGTAGCTCAGTGGTAGAGTGCTTGCCTTGCATGCATGAGGCGTTGGGTTCGATTCCTCAGCACCACATAAGCAGAAAAAGCCCAAGTAGGGTGGTGGCTCAAGTGGCAGAGTGCTAGCCTTGAGCTGAAGAGCTCAGGGACAGCGCCTAGGCCCAGAGTTCAGGACCCATGACCAACAACAACAAGGACAAAAAAGGATTTCATGTAAATAAACTTAAGTATATAGTTTTTCCAGTTGGCTTTTTTCACTGAGCATAATAATTCATCATATTGTCATATATATTAATATTCCATTTTGTCATTTTAAGAGTATCATATATATGGAATCAGATAGTATGTGACATTTAGATTGCTTTTTCCTTTTAATATAGTACTCTTGACATCTGCTCAAGTTGTTGCATATATCAACAGGTCATTTTTCTTCCTATTGTTTTAATATGAATAGTTTTCTGTTGTCAAATTTATAGGTTAGCCATTTACCTATTTTAGAGCCTCTTTGGCTATTAAAAATAAAGCTGCTTTGAACAATACACCATATAGTTAGATCATGATATATTTAGACTAGTTGCATTTAATGTAATTATTGGTATACTAGTGCTTGGACCAGACATTTTATTTTTTACCTTCTCTTTGTTCTGTTTTATTTGCCTTCTGTGGACTACTTCAACTTTGATTCATCTACAGTATATCTCTTTATATAGCTGACATACAAGTGTTTGGGCCAGGCATTTTATTTTGTGAGTATATCTTTTTACATAGCTTTCTAAGTAGTTGCTGGTAGGTGTTATTTAAAATGTCTGGTAGTCTGATAAAGTACATACTTTATCAGTTTCAGCCAAGTGTAGGAACTTTAGTTCCCTTTATGCTTCCCATTTATGATCATCTTAACTTTACAATCATCTTAACTATTTCTGCTTCAAATGCTAAACTTAATTAGAAAACACGGGGGGAAGGAAAGTTTGCTATATTTACTCATGTCTTTTCCTCCCTGATATTCCCAAATTCCTTTTATCATTTAGTTTCTGTTTGAAGAAACTATATTATATATGAGGAAGAGTTCTGTAGGAAATGTGGAGTCACTAAAGTTCTTGTTTGTTTTTGCAAAAAGGAGTAACACCTTTGTGTCTAAGCTTTCAGAAGGTATTAACAGTCCTAGTTAGGAAATTCTAGATGGGCTTAAGTGAGAGCACGAACAACACTTAAGGCCACGCAAATTTCCAGGGGTGGGTGTGGTGGCGGCAGCTCAAGTCTGAAATCTAAGCTATGTGAAAAGTTGTAAATTGGTGGATTTAGGTTTGAGGTCACCTCTGGACAAAAAAACATAAAACCCTACCCTCCCCAAAAATAAAACATAAAAGGGGGCTGGGAAGATGGCTCAGTGGTAGAGTGCTTGCCTTGCATGCCTGAGGCCCTGGGTTCGATTCCTCAGCACCACATAAGCAAAATGAAAAAAGCCGGAAGTGGCACTGTGGCTCAAGCTCTAGCCTTGAGCCGAAGAGCTGAGGGACAGCGCCCAGGCCCAGAGTTCAGGCTCACAACCGGGCCCCCCCCAAAAAACAAACAAAACATAAAAGGGCCTGGGGTATACTCCATGTTAAAGTGGTAGAACATCTGACTAGCAAACATGAGATCCTTTAGTACTACCATTTTTTTCATCAATTCATTGATAGAATGCCTACCCCATTTTAGAGATTGAAATAACTGTATTACCTGCTAAAATATGACAAAGTACCTGTTCCCAAGAATTTTGAGTCTAAATAGGAAGCAACAGACACACAGATAAATATGCTCTGCTAGTGTTACAGATGCTACCAAGGAACTGTATATGTGGCACACATTAGGAACATAAATGAGGGAGGCCAGGAAAACATTCAAAAAATTACTTAAGAGCCATACAATATATAGTGCTCAGAATAGTTGAGGCACATAGTAAGCAGTCAATACCTGTTAGAAGTTACTGTTAGTGGTGGTGATATGCGTAGGCAGGAAATAGGACAATAAACAAAATAAGTGCTTTCATGAAGGACTCACATGCTTTCAGCTATCTAGAAGAGAAAAGAGATGCTTACTCCCCCCTCCTCTGGCTTGCTAAGCTTTGTTTCAGAGACAATGCTCTACAAATTTCTCCTTCATGTATTTGTGGAAAGGAGTATGAGTAAAGCTAATATTCAAACAAAACAACATATTATTAGCTGCAAAGCATTTAAAAATACATACATGCTCAACCAACCGTGTTACTGGTGTTTCCAAGGGCTGCTTGCATAGATGAACTGAAATTATTCAATAACTCTTTTAACAAGTGAACTAGAGCAGTAAAAAACATAGTACCCTGTTCCTGTGTGTATATGGTGTGAAAGGGGGAGTAAAAAGTAATTCTAATTTAGGGTAAAAAAATGTTCTACAACTGTAATAATTATGGAACTCAGTGAATACACTAAAAACTATTGAAGTATACATTTTAAGTAAATTAGCTGTGTTGTTGTTCAATAAAGTTATTGAAAAAGGCAAGTGATCAACAGAATAAAAAGAAAGCAAACTACATGCTAACTTGATCTCTTCAGAAGATCTAGGTCCAACTTTGAGTCCATAAAATATTTCTACCTTTCCAGTACTTGGGGCCAATAGATTTCAAAGAGTCTCACTATTATGTCTGACATACTAGAACCTATCTCTAGAGTTATGGTACAAATAAGACAGCTTGGAAATGTCAATCCTCCTTTTGTTTTTAGGCCAATTTAAGCTTCACTGTGAAAGTTGAGTGCCCTGTAATTCTCAAGTCCAATCCTGACCAAGGTCCCACCAAGGTGGGTCTAACTGTTCTGCCTAGGATGATGAAAAGGAGCCTAGAGTATTCATGTTCCCCCTACACTCATTAGGTTTGACTGGATTACATACACAGGCATCTGTCTGGCCTCTTGATTAGCCTCAATTAGTTCACAAAGAATTGAGCTGGTCAGTGTTAATCCCATAACCCAGCATACAGGGTCTCTGATTATGAGCACATGGTAGAGCCCTTCCAACTGAGCAGACCATGTGCAAGAGACCATACTATTTCCTAGAGAATTTTGCTGTTCTGCCTTGGAGACCAAGTTTGCTCTTCACAGGAAATGGTAATTTAGAATGTGGACTATTGTACTTGGAGGCTATAGCCCAGTAGTAGATTAGCAGTCCTAGTTTCAGAACATCTAGCTTTTCTTCTCCGTTCCCAAGAGTCTACTGCTAAGTTTCCATTATGCCCTATGGCTAAAAAACTTGAGTTATGACAGGAAGGTCCTGGCATAACACTGCAATGAGCAATAAATGCTACTACTTTCTTTTTCAAATCAGGTCATTTTCAACTAGTTTTACTTACCTGGTGTACACAGTCTAAGAATTGTAAGAAGACTGGAGCAAAACCACTGCCCTGACAATTGAGGGTCAAGCTGCTCCGCTGACTGAATTTATGACCAAAAGACAACCATTCTTTTTCCACCAACATCCGAAAGCCTTCAAGTGTTCTATAAAATGGGTCACTGAGTAACTGCACCAATGATGTCACCTTGAGCCCAAGCAGAGAGATACTCATTAATTTCAGTACTGAAAAAATTCTATTGCTAAAATAAAAACATTTCCTTTTGATGACAGCTTATAAGCAAAATTACCTGGAAAGCAAATTTATTCCTAAATGCTCCTGTATAACAACTTGAATAAAGTCTATAAACTTTCTAAATAAACACTAAAACTCAAACTCATTTTGGCTACATGTTTTCTTTCATAAAATTATGACTTTGATTTTTTTAAATTAATTTTTTGGTGGTTCGTGGGGCTTGAACTCTGGGCTTGGGCGCTATCCCTCAGCTCTTCAGCTCAAGGCAAGCGTTCTACCACTTGAGCCACAGTGCCACTTCCGGTTTTCTAGGTAGTTTATTGGAGATTAGAGTCACAGACTTTCCTGCCTGGGCTGGGTTTGAACCTGATCCTCAGATCTCAGCCTCCTGAGTAACTAGGATTACAGGTGTGAGCCACCAGTGCCCAGCTTGACTTTAATCTTTAACTGTCCTTTTTTCTAGGTTAATTGATCAGATTAGGGAATTAGCTCATTTTTATTTTACTTTTTGGTAGGTGTAGGTTATTAGTGTTCTTTATTCTTTTCCTTTTCATCCTGGAGTAAAAATGAAGGGCTTAGAGAAGCCAGAAAAAGGACCGACAAACCTAAGGAACGACAGTCCACACCCCACATTGCTTGTCAAAAGCTCCATCTGCAAGTTTGCATGGTACATCTGTGTTATGAAGCCTGATAGCCAGAGCTTCATCTATGTAAGGGCCCACAGCTCATAGAACCTCCTGATGGACTGCCAGGTGGTTTTTAACAGGAACTTTCTCTACCCACAAATATACTAGTCATTACAGAAAAGATTTATCCCTAGAATTTATAGCCTAACTTGAAATCTGAAAATACATATGTAACAATTTACTTGTGTAGTGATGTCCCAGCCTTCTTCCAAACAGACCAAAACTGAGGAACCATTCTCAAGTACTTCGGATATGACCACAGCCAGCTGCATTATCCTGTGAAGCTAAGAGACAGGAGGCTAAATTAGATACATCAGAGGACAGACTTGCTGTCAACAATCGATAACCAAACAAGTTAGGAATAAAGCAGTTGGAATAAAGAACCATGTAATGTTTTAGATACTTAAGTTCTTGTTAAATCAAGATTAAACGAGGACACCTTTTACAACAATGTGTTTAATGTGTAATAAAATGAAATAACCGTACACAATTTCTTCAAAAATAGAAGACCTAGCCAGGTGCTGGTGGCTCACGCCTGTAATCCTAGCTACTCAGGAGGCTGAGATCTGAGGATCACGGTTCAAATCCAGCCTGGGCAAGGAAAGTCCGTGAGACTCTTATCTCCAATAAACCACTAGAAAACCGGAAGTGGCGCTATGGCTCAAGCGGCAGAGCACTCGCCTTGAGCTGAACAGCTGAGGGACAGCGCCTAAGCCCAGAGTTCAAGCCCCACGACCAACCTCCCCCCCCCCCGCACCCAAAAAAGTAGAAGACCTGTAATTCTATAAAATGGAAAAGACAGAGCCTAAGTGGCCTTGAAAATTCAACATAGTTATTGAACTTAGTTTTTTCCTGTGATGTATTAAGTTCTCTTTAAAATTCAATTTTTCTGGTATTAGTATGATAATCGCATATACTAAAAAACCCCACTGCTTTATATATTTTAAAATAATGGATTTATGCCAAGTGTGGTGGCACACACCTGTATTTACAGCACTGGGGAGGCTGAGCAGGACTGTAAGTTTGATACCAGTTTGGAAAAAATATTTAGAAAAAAATGGATTAATTTTATAATGTGAATTGTGTGAATTACATATTAAAATAAAAGACTTGTATTTTATTGCCTAGGAGGAAAATGTATATTTGTGCTTAGCTTTTTAAGCCAAGATAACTGATTCAAAATCTTTAATAATTAGGGTGTAGGTATAGGGTATAGATTTTAAAACCAAATCTGAACTAAAAAACCCCAAAACAAACCAATCCCCCATACCTCACATAAGCAGAGATGGATTATTTTAAGCTCATCCTTCCTAGAAATGGGAGGTTCTGCACTTGCCACTCCTACAAGGCCAGTCCTAAGCCTGGATCCTCTGAGGATTAGCATTTGCTCTAATAGTTTACTTTTAAAATGCTAGTAGCCCAAAGGGGACAATATTTAACTGTGTTAAGTTTCTACCATTTGGTATAGGTTCACTTTCTAACAAAGAGCGGAGTGTAGACTGTATCAATAACAGACAGGTGGTTGGTTGGTAAGGCTAGTTGGGGGTGTTAGCTCTTTTCATGGGTATTCTTTTTTTTTTTTTCCATGGTATTCTTATAACCTAAACTGCTTTAAGAATAATGAACACTTCTGAGATATACTTGTAACCAGTTGCATATATGGCTCTTTATTAAGAACCTTGAGAACAGTCACTGCCCTAGGTACTGATATTATCTCTTGGCTTCTTTGACTTTTAGTTTTGCATACTATGTTAACAATTTTTTTTTCCTCTTTAAGAAAGAGATGCTTGGAGGTAGATGGGGGCAGAGGACCGAAAAAGTAGAAATTCTTACAGGGTGAGAAGGAATAATGGATTCAGGATCAAGGGCCTATAGACAAAGTTGAAGGTTATATTACAGAGATACTGCTCTTGGCCAAATGTCTGAATTAGTGTCTAAAACACATATACGATAAATATCTTTTTGTGGTTTGGAAGAAATGTGGGCATATTTGTGTTGGCAAACCTTTTTCTACTTAATTTCTCAATAAAAATTCAATAAAAAAATCAGGGTGCTGTTGGTTCACATTTGTAATCTTAGCTACTCAGGAGGCTAAAACCTGAGAATCAGGGTTCCAAGCCAGCCTAGGCAGGAAAAGTCTGTGAGATTCTTCAATTAACCACCAGAAAACTAACAGTGGTACTGTGGCTCAAAATGGTAGAGTACTAACCTTAAGCAAAAAAGCTCAGGGACAGTGCCCAGGCACTGAGTTCAAGCCCCATGACTGACCAAAGGCAAAAAAATTAATAGAAATATCTTAAGGATAACTTAGCTGAATGATGATCTCTCCTCACACACATACATGTTTTGCAAACTTCTGGTGGATTTGGGGCATCCAGTGTACCTTTGGTGACAAATATAAAATCCAGAGATGCAGAATAGGCAGACAGATGAAGGATAGAAAGTGAGAAAGTAGAAAAGAGTTGGATCTTTAGTGTGATGGTTGCATATACTAAAAAACTACTGTTAAGTATTTTAAAATGATGGATTTATGTCTTGGTAACAGAGCAGAAGCCCCATAAATACTGGCTGATGAAATTTACTACACATAAAAAATTCCAAATAAAATTGTTTTCTTCTCTTTAGTATCTTAAGTACAAACTTTCAATTTTTAGAGATAAAAACCAAGTGATCAATAATTTGTCCTCCTTATTTCCTTTGTCCTACTGTTTCCTAAAACCAAAAGAAAGGCCTTTATAGGGGGCACATAATAAAGGAGAGCATAGAGTAGAGGAGTGTTGAGTATTTTTTTTTTTGCTAGTCCTGGGGTTTGTGAACTCAGGGCCGGGGTATTGTCCCTGAGCTTCTTTTACTCAAGGTTAGCACTCTACTATTTGAGCCACAGCACCACTTCTGGCTTTTTCTATGTATGTGGTACTGAGGAATTGAACCCAGGACTTCATGCATGCTAAGCAAGTAGTCTACCACGGAGCCATTTTCTCAGCCCGAGTATTGGTTTTGTATATTGGCCTAAGGCTCTCTTTGAATTTTAAGACAAACTCCCAGATGTTACCTGTGGGAACCACTCGGAGTCTCCCAGGGCCTTCAGGAATGTCACTTCTGAATCAGTAGGGATGGTGCTTGGGATACAAGCCCTCATCAGCTTTTTAAAACTGGCTTTTATTTGCCGGATTTCATGAAATTCAACAGGAACAAACTCACAGTTTAAAGCAAATTCTACCTTGAAGCTCTGTGGATGAAGATGAAGAGAATTAAACAGGCACAAAAAAGAGCAAAGTTTTCATACAGTTAGTTGAAGCCATTTAGCTGCAGAGGCTATAACAGGTCAAAACCATCATTCTTGTGCAAGTCATATGTCCGTAGTGTTGGGATGTCTAGTGGTTTGTTGGAATGGTTAAGTCTAGTAACTGCTAGGGATAGATTAATTAGCTTAGGGATGCTATCATTCTAAGAGCTATTATTGAGCTAGAAGTTGATGCAGTTTATAACATCAAAATTAAGCCAATGACAAATGGACAGTATGGTAAATTCAATAGTCTAATATCAGTTTTCCCAAGCTGTGCTTTGTAACTTTTTTGCTCAAGATTAGCTCTTAACCACTTCAGCAGCTGGCTTTTTGGGTAGTTAACTAGAGATAAGAGTCTCATGGACTTTGCTGCCTGGATTGGCTTCCAACTATGGTCCTCAGATCTCAGCCTCCTGAGTAGCTACAAATATAGGCAGGAGCCACCAGTGCCCAGCTATTTGCTTCCTATTATGAAAGTAAAACATTCATTGTAAAAGTGAAAAATAGTGATTCTTATTTCTCAAATCTTATTTTACTGTCCCAAAACTACTAGTAATATATATAATAAAATGTGCAAGAGTGTTGCTTCATGGCTTTGAGAAGTTCTTTTCTGCTCAGTATGAAACGTCTTTTACTTGTGTTTATCTGTAGTCCATATGGAATATATGCTGTTGCATTTATAATTAAAGAATGCTTTAATGGCCCAGTGGTATACTTCAATTTTGATAATGTTTGCCTGGTTCTGAAAATGGAAAGTCCTCTAACTTCTCAGGCCAAAGAATGAATTACCTCAGATTCATTCCACATTCTTCACATCCTACTCAATCTATTCTAGTGGATCATTTGCCTTTCAAAGAACAAAACTGCTTCCAGGATACTATAAAATAATGTAAATATACTTAATATTAAACTATAATCTTAGAAATTACTATGATGATAAATTTTGTTATGTATTTTTATTATGATTAAGCATGCTGCTAAGGACTTATATGTGGTCCATTTAATGTTTTATATTAGTTAAGTTTTTTTAGAAGGCCTATAAAAACTAAAAATATTTTTTTTGGTTTGAAATCAGGGCATCATGCTTGCTAGGCAGATCATCTACCATTTCACCATATCTTCTTTTTTGCCCTATTTTTTTGGGGAAGGTCTGACATTTATGCCTGGAGCCAGCCTTGGACCTTGGTCCTTCTACCTATGACCTCCTGACAGCTAAGATCATAGGCACATGCTGTTATGCCTGGCTTCACAATTTTCCTGCCTTAGTCTCAGTGCTGAAACTATAGGTGTATGCTACCATAATGGCTCCTAAGTTTTTCTGTGTTTTTTTTTGTTTTTTTGTTTTTTTGGTCCGGTTGTAGGGCCTGAACTCTGGGCCTGGGCGCTGTCCCTTAGCTCTTCAGCTCAAGGCTAGCGCTTTACCACTTGAGCCACAGCACCACTTCCGGCTTTTTTCTTTTTGCTTATGTGGTGCTGAGGAATCGAACCCAGGGCCTCATGCATGCAAGGCAAGTGCTCTGCCACTGAGCCAACTTCCCAGCCCCCTGTGTGTTGTTTTTTAAATAGCATTTTAAATATTTATTAGAAGACAAAAATTTTCTTTGTCTTAATTCCAATTTTAGACAGGAATAATGGTGCATGCCTCAAATCTAAGTACTTGAGTTGAGGCAGGAACACCATGAGTTTGAGGCCAGCCTGGAGTAAAAGGCTATCTCAAGAAAAAAAGAAAATTAAAAATAAATTAAAAATTAATTTTAGGAGGCTACTCTGTAGAAATAATCTAAAGTATTGGGACCCTTCAGTGAAATCATCTCAACAACAACTAAAAAACCTCCCATTTGCTAAAAAATGTGATTGCAATTTTACATATATTGAATGTTAAGTAGTGACAAAAAGCACTATACAGACTATTAGACAACATGGAAATAAGATGTGAGGGCTTGTGATAAAAGAACCTAGAAAAAAACTCATGTACAGTGCTATTTTTAAAATAATAGATAGTTTACTTTTCAGGAAAAACAGATTCCTTTCTAATTTCCAGCTGTCTACTAACAAGATATGTCTTTTATCCTAAAACCTGGGAGTTAGTTGAGATATTATACTGGGTATAAGATATTAAGTGAAATAAGCCAGGCCCAAAGAAACATAGGTCCCATGCTTTACCTTATTTGCAATAACTAGTACATGTGTAGGACAAGCAGAAAAGATCAAAAGCTATGTACTTCTGACCATATAAGATGATGTTAAACGGAATGAACCCCAAGATAGGGACACAAATATCTTTTTTCTTTCTTGCTATTGTTTCTAACATATTTATAATGTACCATGTGATTTTTTTGTTTCTTTGTATGTTCCTCCCCCATGGTATAACCCCTTTTCACTGTATTTGATGTCGGTGCCCTGCATCTTGTATATATACTTCTCTAATTCAGGGAGGGGAAGGGAAAAAACAAAATGCTTAAATAAGGACACAGGTTGACCTAGTGTAACAATGAGATGTACAAGACACTATGTTGAAAGCGAACTTTACAACTTGGGGGGGAAGATAGTTGTGGAGGTGGGAGGGAAGGGATGGTAGGGGAAAAACAAAAGAGGAGGCAACAATGCTCAATAGGAAATGTACTCAGTACCTTGCTCATGTAACTCTAACCCCTTTGTACAGTATTTTTACAATAAAAACATACAAAAAAAGAAATGTGGTACTATTAAGAATTATGAACTAAAAAAAAGAAGGCTAAATTCAAGATGATTTTGAAAACAACTGTCACTTATGGGCCTTTCTTTATGATACCTTTGTTTGAAGATAAAGGCATAGAGTAGCATTGGGACAGTGCTGTGTGAGATAGAATGTGGCACTTATCAAACAGATGTAGAGCCAGACTTTATAGATACAACTGAAGTAATAAAAAACAAAACCTGGAAGTGGCGCTGTGGCTCAAGCGGTAGAGTGCTCACCTTGAGCTGAAGAGCACATGGACAGAGCCCAGGCCCAGAGTTCAAGCCCCACGACCGACCAAAAAACAAAAAAACCTGAGTGGAATATATAAAATTGCTAATAACAACTCTTGTGCCAATATGATAGAAAATACAATTTATTGATGAAAAGAAGGAAGGAAGGATTCTAAGTGGTCTATCAGTCTTTTTTTTTCTTGTCAGTTGTGGGGCCTGGGTGCTGTCCCTCAGCTCTTCAGCTCAAGGTTAGCACTCTACCATTTGTGCCACAACACCACTTCCGGATTTTTCTGCTTATGTGGTGCTGAGGAATCGAATCCAGGGCCTCATGCATGCAAGACAAGCATTCTACCACTGAGCCACCTCCCCAGCCCAAGTCTATCTCTTAATCAAGTAAGTATGAGGACCGATGCAGAAGTAAGAATTAGGGAGCTAAATCTTGTAGAGTGTCTCAGATCACACAGTATGCTAAAGGCTGGAAAGCCTATGCTCTGGAAAAGACAATGGTGCCAAAGAAGTTTTGAAGGTAACTTTGGATCACTGTGAAGAGTTCCAAAGATTTTCTGGGGATACAATTACCTTCTGTATAAGAAGACATATATGTAGACATAAAAGGTAAACACTACCCAGCAGTTTCGTGCCCTCTACCTACTCTAAAGGCTGGTGAATAAGTGACTGCAGCAGTCTAGGCAGGAGGAAGAGTCAGCAATGGCAACCAGCTAGAGGAGAGATGACTCAAGCAGTGGCATCTCAAGTGCTGAGCATGTAGGAGCATGTAGGCTGAGAGACTCTGCTTAATGGTTCAGCCAAAGGTCTGTCTACACTGTTCAGTGCTAAACTGTCAGGAGATTTCCGAACAAATACTTTCATTTCCTACACATTTGTTGGTAGTTGTAAAATTTATTTTCTAATGTGTGACTTGGAGAATATTAAATCCACGAAATTACTGTTGCTTTTGGAGGTAGGGACTATCTTTAGTGTTAATGACATGTCAGCATAATGAAGCTCTTTAACATGGTAATAGTAAAAAATTGGTTAGCATCTAATATTTTGATTTTTTAAAATTGTTCTTGGTTGTGGGGTTTGAACTCTAAGCCTGGGCACTGTCCCTCAGTTCTTCTACCACTTGAGCCATAGAACCACTTCCGGTTTTCTGGTGGTTAGCTAGAGATAAGAGTTTCACAGATTTTCCTTTCTAGGCTGGCTTTGAACAGCAATCCTCAGATCTCTGCCTACTGAGTAGCTAGGATTACAGGCATGAACCACTGACATCTAGCTAATATTTGAATTTATGACCTATTTTAGGACACATATCTCTTCCTATTTGACCTCTAAAAACTTGTGCCTCAGAATACCTAGTCTTGGCCTTCTCTTGCTTTCATATGCAGTGCCTGTCTTCACTCTACATCCTATAGCTTTCTTGCATAGGCACAGATTCCTGTAAAAAGAATGTTAATCGGTACTTCCTGTGGAAAACGGCCTAATAGGAATTATATCTTTTCTTTTTTGTATATTTCTTAATATTTCTGATATTTTAAAGGATTAATAAATTTTTCATGACTAATGTGCACATGTATTCAAATACAAATAAATATATATAGAGAGTGTACATATAAATATAGAGCTAAAATTTTATTTAGATTAAGTTCAGAATCACACTATAAAAAATTTCTGGCAAAGCTGGTCTGGTTTTCTTACCTGCTTTCATGTCTCAAACAATTTCTTTTTTTTTCTTTTTTGTCGGTTGTGGGGCCTGAACTCTGGGTTTGGGTGCTGTCTCTCAGCTCTTCAGCTCAAGGCTAGTGCTCTACCATTTGAGCCATAGCACCACTTCCAGCTATTTCTGCTTATGTGGTGCTGAGGAATTGAACCCAGGGCCTCATGCATGCAAGACAAGCACTTTACCACTGAGCCACCTTCCCAGCCCCTCTCATATAATTTCTAAGTGAGAGAGAAAAATCTTACCCTTAGTTGTGACTTTTCACCAAATATGTAAAGGGATGCTTGGCGTTTCAAGAGCTGGTTTTGAAGGTAGGTGCTGTTACTAAAGGAGGCTGGGTGATCCTTGCCTGCCAGCCGGGCACCAACATCAACGAAGGATGTTGGAGAGCTGATCAAGCGAGTACTGGAGCGAAGACTTGCCCATACACCTTCACAAAAGTTAAGAAAACAGTGAGATCATCTGTTGTGGGAGTGCCACTGAATAAGAAAAATGATGCATGCTCTGGAGTTACAGATTTAGAGGTAATAGTTAATTATCTCCTGATTATTTGATCATATTGTCACAAAAGCACTTCAAAATAATTTAAGTACAGACTCAGAAGGAGCTAAGAAGTCACTCATATCCCATTTTTATATGTTCATGTAAGTTCTGCACTTGAAAGTAAACACTGAAATCCTAAGTGCAGATTGGAAAAACAGAATGCAAGCAGGAGGCAGCAATGAAGCCTAGACAGGAGAAGACAGAGAAACTCAATTTCTTAGGGCTTGAAAGAAGTAAAGGAATATTCTTCTGCACAGTCAATTCAACAAGAAATCTAGATTAGAAACTTACTAAATCTACTAAAAGTAGAGATAGATTTATAACGTTTATCATTTAAGTCTTATACATGTAAAGGGTATAGATTTTTTAATTTCTATAACATGAGAAATTATAAAATTGCTAATGGTGTGTTTCAATTTCAGGAAGCACTATTTTAAATGTAGTCAGAAGCAGCTGAGCATGGTGGCTCAAGCCTGTAATTGTAGCTACTTGGGAGGTACAGGTTAGGGGATCATGGTTTGAGGCCAGCTTGGTAATAAAAGTTTGGGATTCCATCTCAATCAATGGCTGAAACACAGTGGTACATGCATTTCATGCCATGGGGATTGCAAAATGGCTGGGTGTGGTGGCATGAGTCTTTCATTCTAGTTTCACAAGGGAGCACTAATAGGAGAAACATGGTTCAGGCTGATCCAGAAATAAACCAAGACCCTATTTTAAAAAACAGACAACACAAAAAGGGATGATAGAGTGGCTGGACTGGCAGAGTACCTGCTTAGTAAGTACAAGGCCTTGAGTTTAAATCCCAGAACTGCCAAAAAAAAAGAGTCAGAGAAGATACCTTCTAAGACAAAGGCCAGGCCAAATAGCTACAAGTCTCATTATATAAACTGACCTTATTTTTTTAATCAAAGATTTCTCTATTCAAATGAGTTTATTAAATACTAAACACCCAAACACAAGCCACATACTAATCCTCTAATTGGACTAGCACTGCAGCAATTTCAAAAAAAAACAGAGCTCCTTCATAAACTCTGTGCCTGCAGACCATAAAGTTTGTTCACTGATGGGGTCATTAGGGCTTTAAGGCTGTTTCAGGAATTAAAATTTTTTGCACTGATGAAGTTGTTTTTAGACTAGAAGTCACCATGATGTCACATCTGCTTCCCTATCAATATTTATGGAGTTAGTACAATTCCCAAGAAAAGGTTTCTTAAGTGGTAAGCTGCTTAATATGAAGCTATAGTTCTACACATATATATCTTAGATATTATGGCAAATGCTTTTTTAAATCTGTAAATGGAATCACAGAATGTGGATGAAAATAAAGGATATAATTGACAGACATGTGAAAATCACTTGTAACACATACTTTAATATGAAAATGGTTTTCTAAGAATAATATATCAGACACATAATACAGTACCTTAATTATGGACTCTTTCCTTAGCTGCAGATTTGGAATTTGACTGAGTAAAACATTTATCTCAGAACCCATGCACTAGTAGGTTAGATTAAAAACAGGAGAAATGAAATGTATATTGCAGCAAACATCAGAGGAGGTTGAATATGAGAAGAACAGGCTGTTTAATTTTTCAGATTAAGTTAACATGGGGAAAATGAAAATTCAATAAAAGTGGGAGATTTAACAACAGAAAGCTGCAAAGGCATAAAAAGATGAACTGAGTATCTGTTAAATGAAATTTCAGCACCTGTTTATCAATACTGTAAGCACAATGAAATGGACAGCACAGCAGGCAGTGCCACTAACAAATTATACCAAATGGGATAAGCTTTTGAAAAGTATCAGTCAGAAATAATCTTATATAATAAAACTAAGGAATTTGAGTTATGTGTGTCAATAATAGAAATACACTGGCACGTGGATTAAGGAGATTGGCTGGCAAATACTACATGTGTACAGCAATTTGTTCTTTGACTAAGGTCACATCAGGAAATAAGAAAGCTCTAACAACCATTTGGAATAACTAAGGGCATGATTTTGCAGTAGAACATTAAGCACTGCCACACTACCTTCTCATCTTTCCATTCAGAAATTATATTTTCCATAAATATAAATATAGTAGAAGCAGCAAAAATTCTTTATCTTGTGACAATACCTAATACCATTAATAAGACAACTTTTGATGTCTGAAAGTAATGACTTCTTTTAAAACCCCTACTTGTGCCAAAATGATAGGCAGTATTAGAGATAATGCTTTTGTAATTTGAGTAATATTGTTTCCCTCCTCCCCCCATAAAGTGTTTTGTGACCTACAAACTTTGCTTGGTAATAATAAAAATGGTGAATAGTCAACATAACTTCTTGAGCAAAAGATTATTAAAGTCCATTATAGGAAAATACTCTATATTTATTTGGGATTACTAAAAGCTGTGTCTTTTAGCTATACCATGAGAAATTGTGCAAAATATAACAATATGACAAAAGAAAAATCACTAGAAGTGATTTTACTTCTTACTCCTTTGGAAGCAGGAAATTAAGACTATAATGACATTAAATGGCCAAAGGAAGTGGGAAAATAAGACTCAAAATGACTTGTCCTAGCCCACTGCTGCTACTGTATGTAGAGAATAGATACTATCAGAAGAGACAAAGAATAAAGGATCTAGTGGATGTTGAAGGTATCAGGAAACAATATCTCTTCTTCCAATTTGTCACTGAAATAATGGAAGATCTGGGAGGCTTTGGGAATGAAAAGTTGAGTAAAAGAATTATTTTCATTTCTGATTCTAGCTTAAGATACCAGAAGGATATATATCTCTGAACAGAAGCAAACCTATAAGGAAATAAACTAAAGTTCATGATATTTTTTCAGCAGCAAATATCTGGGAGTGGTGTCAAAACAATAATTATAGACTCACATTTGCATAAATGGTCAAAATCAAACTAGATTTAACCCAAAGAAGTAAATATATAGCCTTTCAGGTATCTTTGAGACTAGCATAAGCCATGAATCTAAGGCCAATGTATATAAAAAAAGACAATGTACTTGAAACAGATTAGTGAAAATCCATGGGACTTAGGTAAAAACACGAGAGACCTTTTAAACCTAAGTTTATATTACCAACCACTTGGCCAAAGACATAATGGATACCACGTTCTTGATGAAGCTTCCAAAGGCAAAATACAAGGGCAGGGTATTGGTGGAAAAGCTGTACTAACTAAATATTTCCTGGAAGTTGGTTCTACTAAAAGTTGAATGGAAAAATTATTGACTTGCCTTTTCTTTGAGTAGGGGGCAGTACTGGGGTTTGAAAGCAGAGCTTCACACTACTGTTTAAGCCAAGCCTCGAGAGTCCTTTATGCTTTCTTTTTTCTTTTCGGTATCAGGCCTAAAGCCATAGCTCTACTTCCAGCTTTTTGGTGATTAATTGGAGATTAAAAAAAAAAAGTCTCATGGACTTTCCTGCCTAGACTGGCTTAAAACCATAATTCTCAGAGTTAGCCTTTTGAGCAGCTAGAATTACAAGCATGAGCTACCAATGCCTAGTTCTGGTTATTTCTGAGACAGGGTTGCAGATTTACCCTGAGATAAAGGACATGAGAACTACTTTTTGCCCAGGCTGGCCCTGGAAGGACTGCATAGCTGGAATGACAAGTGTGTATTACCATGCTCAACTTCATAGGTTGAAATGAGGTCTTGAAAACTTTTTGCCTGGTCTGGCCCTAAACCACAATGCTCCCACTTTTACCCTCTTCAGTAACTATGATTGCAGGCATAACTCTTTATGCCTGACTTGCCTTCTTGTCAATATAATAGGAGCATCTCTAATCTGGAAATCTAAAATTTTTAAAAATCTGAAGCTTATTGGGTATTGATATGACTCTAGAATTTTGATTTAAGGATGCTTAACCTATAAAATCTATTCAAATATTCCAGAATCTAAAAAAATACTGAAATCTGAATGCATCTGGCCCCAAGCATTTAACATTTAGATAGTAATAAAGAAAGCTGCAATGCTGAACCAAATTTTGACAAGAGTTCTTGGCAACAGGAATCCTACAAAAATAATGGAATTCTAGAATTTCAGGAAAAAAGCTAAATATAACTGTTTTGGGTTACACTGTGTCCCCCCAAATTAATGTGAAGTCCTGTCCCCCATAATCTCATAATATGAATTTATTTGGAAATAGGATTGTTGAAGATGGAATGAGTTATAATAGGTAACATTGGAGTAGGGTGGGCCCTTAATACAAGGGCTGTGTTCTTATAAAAAGGGGAAATTTAAAGACAAGAATAGAGGAAAATACCTTGTGAAGATGAAAGCAGAGCTCTAGTTATGTTTCTATAAGCCAAGGAATGTCAAAGATGGCTAGAGAATCTCCAGAACGGAGCGAAAGGCTTGGAAACAGATTTTTCACTTTTAGCCCTCAGGAGAGCCAATCAGCTGTTCTCACCTTGATCATAGATTTCTACCCCTTCCACAGTCCCAAGGCTATTAAAGTTTAAGCACCTTAATATGTGGTACAATCTATGGTAGCCTTAGAAAAGTGGGCAAACGACCTCAAGGCCTGGCACATTAATTATAATGGAAGATGACACAAAGTTGAAAGCACTTAGGAAATACTGCAATATCACAAAATTCTGATGAGGTGAAAAAAAAGCATCCAAATATGACTACTAGAACAAAAATATGGTTTTCAGAAGGGGAAAAAGTTCATTTTAAAAAGTAGGGCCTCTATTTTGATTCTGAATCAAATTTTAGAATAGATTATTAATGCAGCTATTTATGATTATTTAGGTAAAAGCACTGATTTTTTTAGGCATGTCAAAATAACCATGAAATTTTTTTGTGATTCAGATAATAGTTTAAGAGACTAGCAAATCTTGAACTAAAAGATTAGTAGAGATTTAGAACCATGGCCCAGGTGAATTTTAGTAGGAAAACCAGTACAGAACAGTCTCTTTCTTTAGAAAGGCTTACATTATTTTGCTGTAGGCCTTTGTCCTTAGCTTTGGTTTGTTCAAATTAAAACAAAACAAAATCAACAATAAATCACATGAATGATTCAAGTGGACAAAACTAGTACTCAAAAAATTATTAGTCCACATTCAAAAACACCATAGGAGATGAAACTCTGTAGGCAACCCCCCAGGCAAGTACATTGAGAACAGTAGTAAATATAGAGCAAACAGGAATTTCAAATGGTATTAACCTTAGCAAGAACTTAACCTTCAAATGAGGTTGCCTCCCATAGCTAATGAATACTAGATTTGATCACAATGTGATAAGATGGTAAGCAGACTACACTCCAACAAGTTGGAGAAATTTAGTTAACAAAACACTGGTAGAGAGAAAACATAACAGGTTTTAAAGCCAAAGACCTGAAGATGGAATTAAAGTTAGTTTCTAATTTTAGAGGGCAGAGTTAGGTTCAATACATGAAAGTTATGGGGTAGTAAATTTTTAGACCAATATGAGAAAGAACTTTCTAAGAAATAAGAGTTGCTTACATATGGAAAGGATTATTTCAGGAAAGAAATGAATTTCCCATTCCTGATAATATTTAAGCAGAGCCAAGATCCCTTAGCATGTTTGAAGAAGACTCAGCCTTCTGTGAGGATGAGAAGTATCTAAGATCCATTGATTCCATGTGAAGCAGGAGAACTTTATAATCATGATGCCTGGGTTGTAATTTCCTCTGCCTCGTTTTAAAAAACCCTCAGAACACAGAACCAGAGTCACCTTTTAAAGCTTAGTTTTTCTCTATTTTTCCCCTCATGCCAGAAGCTATGGACTGGAGGAAGAGCAAAAGAAGTTAGTTACAACATTATTCTGGCCTGGAGGAGGGGCAAAAGAAGTCCCAACATTGTTCTATCTTATCCTTCAAAGAAATCTTTCAGAAAACAAAACTAGTATGTCTTGGAGTCATAGTCCTGGGTCTAGTATCATTTCTGTTTATAGGGCTGGTTATATTTTTTGTTGTATCTTTCTGCTCTTCAAACCTGGTGACTCTGGACTGGGAAGGTGGTAGAGTGCTTGCCTTGTATGCATGAGGTCCTGGGTTCGATTCCTCAGCACCACATAAGCAGAAAAAGCCCAAAGTGGTGCTGTGGCTCAAGTGGTAGACTGCTAGCCTTCAGCTGAAGAGCTGAGGGACAGCACCCAGGCCCAGATGGACAAGGAAAACAAAACAAAACCAACCCCCCAAAACTGGTGACTCTCTCAGGGTGATTTACCATTTAAGTGTGCTCCCCTTATTTCCTAATTCTCCCAAACACATTGATATGTAAGATACAAGCAATGACTGTCTCATGAGGTGAAATCTGGTCATCATGTTAGCAATAAGTTGATCATTTAGAGAAGGGCCATTAAAAATAATGAAAAATAATTGGAACCATATTTATTTTAAAATATATGCTATCTAGAAAAATGTTTTGTGCTTTTAAGTTTGTATCAGTCAGTGCTCAGTTATAAAATCAATCTTACTAACCTCCTCGAGCAAAGCTATTGGATGGGTTTACATCCAAATGTCCTGGCACTACCTGTTTAAGCACAGTGGACATTCTTGAAGTCATCTTTTCAGTCCCTAAAAGTCAGCCAAAAAGAAGAACAAAAACCATATTGTTTGGGTTAACATTACTCAAATGACAAAAAGTTATCTTCATGTGTAGCATGTTTAATTGCTGCCAAACACTGTACTTCTTAAGTACCAAAGCTTAATTAGAGATAACAAGGCAATGTTATTTAATCAGAGATACACACACATTTGAAAGATTATAGAGTTAAGTTTGGCAAATGCAATCAGAGAATTTAATGATAAATGAAGCGAGGCATGCATGGTGTTACTTTACAAGAAAAGCCACTTTCTGCTTATGTAGAGCTATTTCAAACAGCTGATTAAGCCAAAGAGACCAACTTTTCAAGTCACATGCTCCTCTCTAACACGTTAGGGTTACCTCTACATGAACCCTTTGGGGTTCCACCACATGATAACTGAAATAGAATATTAGTACAAGTCTTAATGGCTTTATTCAAATCCAGAGAAAACAAACTAATGCAAAATTGTAAAAGGCTAAAGAAGTTTTGGGAATTTCAAACAAACAATGATTTTAACACATATATATTTAACAAACAAAATACTCAATTTGAAAATTATATTTCATAATAATATTTTAAGGTTTATTTAAGATTATTGAGTAAAAATTGACTTTAAGTTCCTTACCTCTTAACTCTTTTTAAGAGAAAATAATGGAATTGCTAAGTATAGTGATTAATTACTAGGTATTACAGTGGTATTGACTTATAAGTATAGGAGTAAAAATTAATGGTCCCATAGGGTAAAAAATTTGCTAAGGTCATGTTTATGGAACAGTAAATGTAACTAAAAAACTAAATCCTAGAAATACATGTGTAGTAGTAATTAATAAGAAGAGTATTATCAAATCTTACCTGGAGACAGAGCAAGTGCTGGCCTGACAGTAAGTGTATTGTTGCCTTTGAGTTTCTGATGGACAGAAACTGCATTCAATAAAGCTTGCAAGTATTTTTCTTGTTCTATGCTACTGGAAGATTCTAAAGAGGAGGTAGGAGCTACAAAAGGAAAAAAAATGAGATAAGACAAATGATTTCCTTGTTAAAGCAGCTTTTATAGATACCTCCTTTTACTCTGTCCAGATAGTCTCATATTACCACATCCAATGTAGAAACCAACTCTATTTAAAGCCCCAATCAATTGAATGGCTAATCCTATGATACTGGATTTATATACCTACTTCTCAGATGCTTTATCATCATAGAAGATATTCTTGAAGTTTTCCTTTCAGTCCCTAAAGAGCCCACATCTGAAAAAACAGGACAGGGGGCTATTCCCAAGCACAGGTATAGCTTTTTTAATCCAAGAACTCAAAGTGATAATCCCTTAGATTATCCTGCTTTAATACCTTGCCCATACTACTGTTTGGGAGTGGAGGATGGAGGGGTTTGTCTGGCATCCTATAATCAACAGAGGTGGTTTTCCAATACCATAAGCTTTATTCCAATTTTGTCACATAGGCCTGACAGGAAACATAAACTTGTACAGGAATTTGTTGAGGAAAGAATAAAAGAAGAATGGAAGAAGATGGGGAGTATGAAAAGAACAACTACAACTAGATTCCTTGATCCTTCAAAATAAAGAAGGGAAAAAGTATGCAAAGATGGAAATAATCATGAGATCAAACAATTGGAGGGGCCATAAGCTTTGTATATGTAGAGCAAAATACAATCACTGAAACTAGTTTAGGTATTTTAAGGAGTATCAGGAAGGTATAAATTTTTTTACAACTTGATGGGCTAGGAAGAGTGCTTGCCTTGCATGCATGGGGCCATGGGTTCCATCCTCAGCACCACATTAGCAGAAAAAGCCAGAGGTGGTGCTTTGGCTCAAGTGGTAGAGCGCTCGCCTTGAGCTGAAGAGCTGAGAGACAGCGCCCAGGCTCAGAGTTCAAACCCCACGACCAACAACAACAAAAAAATGATGACATCTTAGAGTTTAAAAAGTATAATAGCATGTTAGTGTTGATTGTAAAATGCTAATTATTTTCTGTTCAAGTTGTAAGAAAAAAATTAAATAATTTTTAAATACGTTTTATTCTATTTATTTTTTGTTAGTTTTCTAGTGGTTTACTGGAGATAAGAGTCTCATGGACTTTCCTGCCCGGGCTGGCTTTGAACCGTGATCCTCAGATCTCAGCCTCCTGAGTAGCTAGGATTACAGGCATGAGCCATTGGCGCCCGGCAGATGTCATCATTTGTAAGATGGACTTGCCATTTAAAACTGATCACATTAACTGGAAGATGGATCCCAATTTTAAGGACAGTAAAAAATGAATATGTTTGCTCAAAAAATGAAATACAGTAAATCAGTATCAAATAAAGCAGAAACCAGTAAAATACGTTATTCTTTCTCTACGAAGAGCTCAGGGGCATGCTCTTACAGATACTTCTAAAATGATTAATGTATATAATTCAAGTGATTGTGTTCTATTATATATACTATGTGGCTTGGGAGATTCCCTACACATAAACTAGTAAAAGTCAATGTCCTCCAGTTACACCAGTGCTGAGACTCCATGCCAGACAGAATAATACAGCATTGTCTATGTGCTACTCTGATGCCAACCTAAAGATTAAGGACATAGTAGCCAACCTCAAAAAGTTCCTGTCCAAGGAAATAAGAATGACCAACAGACACATAAAGAAATGCTCAATATCTCTGGCCATAAAAGCAATGCAACTCAAAACTACATTGAGATTATACCTCACACAAGTTAGAATGGCCATTATCAAGAAAACAGTAACAGGTACTGGTGATGATGTGGCCAAAAGGGAACACTACTACAGTGTTGGTGGGAACATACACTTGTTCAACCATTCTTGAAAGCAGTATGAAGGTTCCTCAAAAGACTAAACATAATGCCCCCTTATGACCCAGCAATCCCACTCCTGGGCGTTTACCCAAATGATCACAAACAAGCCCACACTAAAGCTACCAGCACAACTATGTTCTCTGTAGCATTATTTACCATAGGTAAGTTAAGGAATCAGTCCAGATGCCCCTCAGTAGATGTATGGACCAAGAAAATGTGAGATATATATATATATATATATATATATATATAAATGGAATTGTATGCTTCTATCAGAAAGAATGATATAATCCCATTAGTCAGGAAATAGAAAGTCTTAGAAAAAAATCATATTAAGACCCAAAGAAACATAGGCTTCAAGGTTTCCTCATCTGTAATAAGTAGTATATGCCTAGAATAGTCCTAGCAGAGGTTTATGACAGCCCAAAAGCTATGTACATATGACCATATAAAATGATACTAATTGAAATGATCTCTGCGATGTGGAAATAGAGGGTTATTTTTTGCCTCCCCCCCACCCCCCCGGCTTTTCTCTCTTTCTTTGTATATTTTTTGCAGTTCCTTTGTCTGGTGTTTTTTTCTCCTCAGGTTTATTCCCCGTGGTCACAGTTTCTGATTTGGGTACTCTTTGTCTTATATATAAGTTTATCTGATTTGGGGAAGGGAAGGGGAATCACAAAAATTGTGGGACAAAGGTGAACCAGTGCAACAACAATACTCACTACACACTATGTTAGAAATGAACTTTACAACTTTGGGAGTTGGGGAGTCTGGAGAGGGGAGGGAGAGCAGGAGAAAATGAGGGAGGGGTTAAAACTATTCAAAAAGAAATGTATTCATTACCTTTTTATGTAAGTATGACCTCTCTGTACATAACCTTTACAATAAAATTAAATTTAAACAAAGTAACCCTCCAATTTGAGTTTACCTATTTAAAAAAATTGTTATTATAAAGGTGATATACAGGGCTGGGAAGATGGCTCAGTGGTAGAGAGCTTGCCTTGCATGCATGAGGCCCTGGGTTCGATTCCTCATCACCACATAAGCAGAAAAAAACAGAAGTGGTGCTTTGGCTCAAATGGTAGAGTGCTAGCTTTGAGCTGAAGAGTTGAAGGACAGCGCCTCATGGCTGACAAAAAAAAAAAAAGTGATGTACAGAGGAGTTACAGGTAATGAGTACCATTTCTTTTTGGACAATGTCACCTCTTCCCTTACTCTCTCCCAATTTTTCCCTCCTGTCCCCACCTATGAGTTGTATAGTTCATTTTCAGCATAGTGTTTAGCAAGTACCACTGCTACATTTGTTCACACTTTGTCCCTCCATTTCTGTGCTGCTTTTATCCTCTCAAAGACAGAATAAGTGGACAAACAAGACAAAAAGAAAACAATAACAAAGAAAAACTCTCATTTCCATTTCCTGGAGTTCATTTTGATAAATATTATTTTATATGATTAGAGGCACATAATCATTGGCCCTTGTGTCCCTCCCCTAAGAGTATCCTCCTTTGATCTCACTGTGTGAGATTATCTCATTTCAAAGGGGGAAGAATGCTGCTCTTTATAATAGGATCTGATCATTTTACTGAGCACTTATAAGCTAGAAACTGTGAGAAAACTCAACAAACTACAGCTTCTGATAAGACTTTATATATGATACTTGCTAATATTATCAGAAAAAGGGACAGCAGCACTTATTATTTCCCTAGCTTCCTAAAACAGCCTCTTGAGAGTTCCTAAGGCGGCATTTTATTTCATTAATTTGCTTTGATTGTGAATGTAGGAATGAGGCAGGATATCTGATATCACATGGGACAAAATCCTTATTTGCAACTGAGGTCAAAAGTCATTAAATATATGTGGATGGTTCCCAGAAAAAGGAAAAAGAGTGTTAGTTTCCATCTGTGGATACTCTCGTTTTCTGAAATGTCAAGTAGCCTAGAACCAAAGCTATTGCAATTCACTATTCACTAAAAGTTGAAATAAAGATCAGATGTACTAAGCAAGATGTCAAATTCAAGGTGAAGTCCCACATTACTAAGCTGAACATGTTATATGAAGCACGCTGGAATAGTTGATGTGTGAGACAAGGCTTGATGAAAGAACACAGATGGTATTTTACTTTGTTTTTAGGAAGACCTTTTTCTTTTGTTCTATTTTTCCTTTGAGATAAGTTCTTGCCATGGTACTCAGGGGGTAGCTTTGAACTCCTGTGCTCAAATGATCTTAGTCTTTCCAGTAGCTGAGTACAGAAGTGTGTCAGGCTTATTTTTAAGAATACTTTTAAGTGAAATGGTCACAGTTGTGCTGTAGAGAGATGCTTACCGGCCTGAGGAGAGTTCTGAGACTTGAAAAGACCAACAACTCCCTTCCCATGGAATCCTCCAGATCGGAGGAGCAAAGTTCCACTTCTTGAGTTCTTCCAACATACCACAGGTAGGCGATTGTGTCGATAGCAGCGGGCTACTCTTGGTAAACTACTGTCCTGTACAGATTGAGGTATGACTAAAAGGCCAGGATAGCTTCAGGATGTGAGGAGAAAAGGATTGGGAGAGAGGGAGAATATAAGAATATGAACAACATAGCAACCATTTTCTATTTACTTTTCTCCCATTGACTAAAAGCCATTCCTAGGTTTTTTCTTTCTTTCTTTTTTTTTTTTTTTTGTGGGTGTGTGCTGGTCCTGGGGCTTGAACTCCCTGACCTTTTGTGCTTATAGCACTCTACCACTTGAGCCTCAGCTCCACTTGCAGCTTTTTTTTTTGGTGATTACTTGGAAATAAGAATCTCATGGACTTTCCTG